ATAAATATCCGACGCAATCAGCATGTTCAGCCATAGACTGTACGAGAGGCAATACGACTTGCCAAGGTGAAAAACGAAGAGTTGGAGAAGAGGAATGCAAAGGAATTCACCGCGAGCACCCTTGGAGGTCGCAGCCGAGCCACCACCATCGCCACAGCAGATCGCACCGCGCAACCCAAATGCTACGAGGATTTTGCCATAGGAGGCAGCACGTAGCCGGGCACAAGGACTCTACTTCCATTGCAATGAACGTTTTACGATTGGCCATCACTGTGTCAACAACAACGTTCTACACATGACGCGTTTACCGACGAGGAGGAAGGTCAATTCATCCATGAAGATGACCAACTTTGAGGGCAAGGTTGGTGCGAAGGGGGGAGGAATGTTAGGAGAATCAAGCAATCGTAACTATTGGGCCTCGATCTGGGCTTGGTTATTTTATTATTTAGTATTTTACTATTAATTATCTTTATTTGGCTTTTTCTTGTTTAAGTAGGATTTGGTTAGTTTTAGTAATTTCAGTATAGGAGTAGAAGTCATGATCTAGATAGGATAAGGTAGAGGGTTCTATGCCTATGATAGTTGTGTGTCATTTATGTCCTGACGATTTTGTTGACCGTTAAAGATAACGATTGACCTAACGGTAATCAGTGAAATGTTGACAGTTGGTTACGTGGCATATATGTGTCGGCCACGACAGCTGACACATCAGATTATTTATGGAAATAAATTCTTAACAAAAAAAAAGAGAAAAAACGGAAACAATTCTAAAACAAAAATCTTCTTCCCCACTGCACTTTTTCCCCGGCACTGACGTCGTCCTCCGCCGAATCCGACCCTAAGATTTTCCAGGACACTTGTGATTCAAATCAGAACTCAACTCCAGTTGTCACCATTTCAGTTCAGCCCTGCAGTCAATTAAGCAAACACAAGCAAGAAAGACACATGGATTTAACGTGGTTTCCCTGAATGTCAGAACTAGTCCAGGGGAGAGGCAGAGCTCTCCAAGTCAATCTTATTCTAGTTACCTTGTACAATTCATGGGTCAAACATATATATAGGTTTGGTATGACAAACCCTACACAAGACTCGGCTGGTATATTTACAAAATGGTAGTTGTACTTTATAATTCTAACACCCTCCCTAAAATTAATGTTGGGTGCGCAACATCAATTTGGATAAAAAGTAACAATGCCTATTGGAGGCCACTTCCTTCGTCAAGAGATCTTCCTTCTGATCTTCTATAGACAAATGACCAACCTGTATAGTTCCTTCTGCATAACAAATATCAGGAAGAGTATGAGTTAAGTAAATCAAACTTCCCACCAAACTCCGGTAAGTTGTTTGATCTTCCAACAATTCAACATTGTCTCGTGTTAGCTTCAAATTCTGCTCCATGGGTGTCGAGCACGGAGTCGCGTCACTGTATTTTGAGGACTCGAGTAGTCAAGGATATACTTCATCTGGGACACAAACAAACCACTGGCCAACCGCTGCACCTGGAGATCCGAAAAATATTCAACAACACCTAGCTCCTTCAACTTGAACGATCGACGCAACGACGCAGTTAGCTCCCGAATACCCTGCACATCACTCCCCGTGACGACCATGTCGTCAACATAAATAAGTAGAACCACAATACCATCCACCGTATGACGAATAAACAAGGAGGGTCATTTTGGCTCTGCACAAAACCTTCATGAACAATGGTGCCTTGCAGTTTTTCAAACCACGCTCTAGATGCTCGTTTCAGGCCATACAACAATTTGACTAACTTGCATACCATACCAAGGCCACCCTTAGTATAACCTGGGGGACGTTCTATATAGATAGTCTCATTCACATTGCCATGAAGAAACGCATTCTTCAAGTCCAAATGCTCTTTGACCATCCTTTTAAAGCCGCAACTGCAAAAGCCCACCGTACCGTCTGCATTTTGACAACAGGAGCAAAGGCTTCTTCATAGTCAATACCATACTCTTGCCGAAAACATTGCGCCACGACATGAGCCTTGAAACTCTCCAGGGTACCATCAGACAACATTTTAACCGTATAGACCCAGCGACTACCAATGATTAAATATTCAGGCTTCCGAGGCACAAGATCCCACGTGTGGTTGGCTTCAAGAGCTGACGTTTCCTCTTGCATTGCACCGTCCCAATTTGGATCTCCTTTAGCTTCATTGTACGAGGAAGAAATAACAATGGGCAGTGATGAAAAACCTACGTAGTCATGCATCCGAGGAGGAGGCTCACTAAGATTGGCACGAAGAGATCGACGAAGGGGAATTTTCACCTGTACGGGCGGAGATTCTTGCATGGAACATGAGCTGGAGGCACTCGATTGGGAGCTCGAGTTTTGAAAACTAGAAGACATATCCCCAGCGCTAGAAGTCGTGCGACTTGAGGACGAGGACGACCCTGGGCTGCTGTCGGACAAGGAAGTGGACCTCGAAGAACTAGAGGATGGTCCAGACGAGTCCCCGAGGTCAGCCATATCATCTCCATGCATTACTTCAGCAGGTCGTCGAACATCCTCAAACTGTGGAAGAGATGTGAGAAAATCCAGCAAAATCGGACCAGGCAAATCATCCTTTGTCATCGAATAATACATTACTTGTTCTAAGAAAACAACAGGATAAGAAATTCTCATTCGATGATCCACTGGGTCATAACAGAGATAAACTTTATGCTTGTCGCTGTATCCCATAAAAATGCATCGAGTAGTCTTTGGCTGGAGCTTGTTCCGTTCACGTCGAGGAAGCAGAGCAAAACATGCACACCCAAACACACGTAAGGCAGAGTAGTTAGCGCCTTTCCGAACAAGGCTTGATACGGCGAACTGTGTTCCAACAATGATGCAACTTGTCGATTGATGAGATGCACAACTGTGTGTACCGCTTCAACCCAAAACCGAGCTGGAACATGAGAGTGAAACAAAAGAGCTCTGGTGAGCTCAAGAACATGACGATTCTTGCGTTCAACAACTCCATTCTGTTGTAAAACACCTGGGCAACACTCTTGAGGTAAAATCCCTTCAACTTTGTAAAATGCAAGAATTTCATTTGAGGTAAACTCACCTCCTGGATCAGATCTCATGATCTTAATCGTTTTATGAAATTGGGGTTTCACCATTTGGACAAACTCTCGAGCCAAGGTTGCAAGCTCCGAATTCTGTTTAAGGAATAAACCCCATGTAAACCTTGTAGCATGATCTATGAACCGCACAAAATACCGATATCCCAACCTTGTTGTGACTGATGAAGGACCCCATAAGTTAGCATGCACCAGATCAAACGCATTCTCATATACTGTATCACTGGATGAAAAAGATATCTGATGTGCTTTTGCCTCAATACAGTTGATACAAGGTGAATGAGAAGAAGGAACCGAAGAGAGTTTATCTAGTAACAAATTACGACAAAACATATTTATTAACCGAGCCTAATGGGGATGTCCCAAACAGCAATGCTATAGATCCTAAGTAGAAGTAGTAGCCGACAAATGCAAGGTTTTAACAGAGTAACCCGCAAAACTGGAAGATCTAGAAGTCTTACAACCCGAAAAAAACAAATCTGAAAAATCCAAATCCACTAAATTCGACACCCTATAGTCGAATAAGAGTGGGGCACTCTAGCACAATATGACCAAACTTCTTACAGTAGTTGCAAAAATTGCGCTTCTTACAGTGAATTTGAAGATGACCAACCTCTTGGCAAAAATTACAGGTGACCTCGCTCGTGACAGGACGAGTAAACTGAGGACAGGATGCACCAGAGCGCCCAACAGCAAAGGCAGACTCAACCGTGGCCGAGCCATCAATTTGGGACTGGCTCTTAAGCCGTGTTTCTTCCCGAAATAATTCGGAGATTACCTCCACCAATGTAGTAACCCAACGATGCATAAGAGAGGCGGGTATCGATTCAAACTCAGGATGAAGTTTATACAGGAACTGCATAACATATGTACGACTGCGTTCTTGAAGAATAGCAGCCGATTTAGCACAAGACACCAAGGAAGCTGTCAACATATCATACTCAGTCCACAGATGAAGACTGGCCTGATAGTAACCACGAATATCCCGATCACCCTAAGCCAAACGCCAATCTCAATCTCAAGCTCATACTGACGAGAGAAACTGTTTTGGGAATGATTACGAACAATATGATGCCATATCTCAACAGTCGTAGCAGAACGACGAAGCCCAAGAGCCATAGGGACAACGACACAAGAGGCAAGCCAAGTCACAAGCTGAGCATTCGCAGCAGCCCAATCTTCTCGATCCTTAGCTGAAGCATCAGCCGTAAGAGGCTTAACCTCGCCCAACAAAACACCAAGCAAACACTGACCAGCAACAAAGTTCCTGAACTAAAACTACCACAATGGGAATTTCTTCCCATCGAACTTAATCGTAACAGAATCAAGCTTAGAAGTATTCATTCTGCAAGTACCAAAGTTACTAAAACTCATAGCCAAGGGAGCAACTCCCGTATGCAGCACACACCCAAAAAGCCCAGCAATCAAAATCGTCGACGAAAGGACCAAAAGCACCGAACTGACAAGGACCTAACTGCGCCGAAAAAACAAACAAGGAGCTGCAAAAACGGAGCAAAAGAAAACCCAAAGACACCACAAAACCCAGCACAGCACCAGCAAAGAGAGAGTCTGAGCGCCGAAAAGAAACTCTGGCACCGAATAACACTCACCAAACCAGTAAGCCCTAGAACCCTCTGAAACCAAACGTACTTCCAATTGCGTCGGGAAAAGCAAAGTGATCAAAATTGAGGCTATGATACCATGTCAATTAAGCAAACACAAGCGAGAAAGACACATGGATTTAATGTCGTTTCACTTAATGTCGGGACTTATCCACGGGAGAGGCAAAGCTCTCCAAGTCAATCTTATTCTCGTTACCTTCTACAGTTCATGGGTGATACATATTTATAGGTTTGATAAGACACACCCTATACAAGACTCGGCTGGTATATTTACAAAATGGTACTTGTACTTTATAATTCTAACACCCGCAACCCCGCTCTCAGCTCCATCGCTTTGAGATTCATATCAAAGTTCGAATCGAACTCTTCCACTACAATACAAACCTCTAATCCCTAAATCACTTGATTTGAGCAGATAATCACGAGACCACCTAATTTGACTAATCGAGCAGGGGAGCTACTCTTCAGCCGCGACCGCGACGGAGGAAGCAGGGGAGCTGCTCTTCGGGTGGATCTTGTGATCTCTAACATCCGAAATAGATCTGATTATATTATGGCAGGGTACGACTGCGGAGGTCTGGAAAGTTCTTCAAGAGCGATTTATTTAGCATTGCAGATCTGGGTCGGTCTCTGGACGTGGGATGCCATCCCTATGCTCTTCGGCGGTCGCATCTGTCGGCGAAGGAGGAAGAGACGCGACGGGGCAGTGGTGGTGCTTGAGGAAGACCTCGCCGATGCAAGCTTGAGAGGACGAGTCATGGTTGCGGAATCCCAGGACGACGACCACCACTGTAGTTTTTCTTCCTCTTCCCCTTAACCACTCTCACGACGATTGAGATATGATGAAGAAAGAATCATAGGACGATGAAAGTTGTGCCAGACCCTCTCCTTGACATTCCCACTTGGGTCTAGTCTTCCGCAACTCTCAATCACCGGAAAGAGCAAGATCCATGGGTGATGAAGACGGATGAAAGAAAGGGCTCAAGATTAGGTGCATAACTATGAGTAACCAAATTTGGACCCTTCTTTTAAGTGGCTGGAGATCTAAGGGGGGAGAATTACAGGAATTTAGTTTTCCTAGTTTTCTTGATTGGATCATATCTTTTTCATTCTAACACAGATTTCAATTTTTTTTCTTTTGCACAGATGGAACGAGTTCGTTGTGCTCTACAAAATTATATCCATTTTCAATATTTTTTGAGAAAAAAAGTTCATACCTCTCGATACCAACTCCATACCATATGGTATCTCCATCGTTTCTAGTCGTTTTCGGAAATTTTTGCACAGATGAACGATTTAATCATGATCTATTGGATTTCAAAAATTTCTGGGTGGAAAAATTTCATACCTCTCGTTACCAACTCCATACCATACTATACCACCCTAGTATGGGGTGGTATTTTTCATACCGTATGGTATGCTCTTATTTAATACCATTCAATACCATATGGTATAGACTAGGGGTGGCTATACGGTCCGGTCCGGTTAAATTGGCCCGAATTGATCCGGTCCCGGTCCGGTCTTTTCGGGAATATAAGGACCAAAGATTGGATTGGATACAGTCCGGTCTTGATCCGGTCCGGTCTTGACCCGGTCCGATCCCAATATGGTCTTGATTTTAGATTGAGCTTGTGGGGATTTCCGTGGCCTAAGGCCTCAAAGGGTGGGGAATTAGTTAAGTTTTGGATCTTGGGGTCTCTTATACGGTTTTCGATCCGGTCCCAAACGGTTTTTTACCTAAAATCTAAGTCCGAATATGATATTGGATTTTTTGCCATCCGGTCTCGGTCCGGATTATACGGTCCGGTTTTGGGTAAAACCAAACAGTCCTGACCATATACCCAGCCCTAGTATAGACTGGTAATAACTAGCAAATTTTTTGTTCCAAAAAATATCAAAGTGGATATAATTTTGAAGAGAACAATAAATCTGATCTAACTGTGCAAAAAAAAATTCCGACATAAAACGAGTGAGAAATCATTCGTTAAAGATGCCCTTGACAAATAAAATACTCAACTATTAAATTGCAGTGGGAAAAATTTTCATAAATAAAAATTCTGAAATCACGCACTTAAAGTTCAAAGCAACACCCTAACACTAACACATGGGCAAATCCAACGCTTAAAATCTCAAAATGATCTCCAGTCTATACTCATAATCATAAATGTAAATAACTACTAATCTCAAATGTTGCTGCTACTGAAAACCTTGACTAAGCATCCTCCATGACGCTTATACTGCTCTCTTCTAGCTGGCTGGCCTCGAACTCTCTGCCCACTAATTGCTCCTCTAGCTCCTTTAGCTCTTCAAACTGGTGAGTGAGATGGGGTCAGGCTACGCCCTTACGTTTTAATACTTCTAAAACTTGAGTACTTTACTTAAACACTTAACTTTGACTAGTGGAAGTTGTTTGTACTTCCAATCTTAAAATCTCAACTCTTAAACTTTGAGGGAGTTGAAGTTACTCTCCTCTCTTAAAGCTCAAATCTTTACTTAAATACTTGACTGACATGGGGATCCCTCACTAGCTAGTCCGGTTGCCAACTCATACGTATGAGAAGCCATCTAGGCTTTCCTTAAACTTAAACTTAGTTAGGGAAGTCGTAACGATTCGTCCCCCTAACATCTTAAACTTATCGTGGTGGCTCTTCACCACGATTCTCAAGAGCATAACTGCTGCTCATCTTAAAAGTCTCAAGAGCATAACTGATGCTCTGTCTCAAAGATCTCAAGAGTATAACTTCTGCTCTATCTGAAAATCTCAAATGGCAACGGACTGGCACTAGTGACTAAAAACACTTAAAACGACTTCACCTTCTTGAAGGTGGGTTACTTCTTAAAAAGTACTTGTTCCTTAAACTTGAACTTACTTGTAAGTAAAGCATGCAATAACATACAGCTGAAAGCATATTCACGCAAACTCACATGGCATCATAGAAACACACAAAGACAAGTACGAGACATAGCAATCAATCTCAAAGAACTCAAATACCGTAAGGCATAAAATTTACCCCCTTTACACTCACCTTGATATCGTATCAATTAACTCAAACCAACCACCATGAAAAGTGTCGATCACCTTGAGTTCATCCCTCCTTGAAATCTCCACACGAGCTCCATCATCATGTGATTCCAACAGCTCAAAGTTAATTATGTACCATCTGATCTACCCCACCTCTCCAATACCCAAAACCAATAATTCCATCCATCTCCAGAAGCCACTCGTCAATCAAGGTAACCAAAACTGTAACACTTGTCCCAAGTATATGAAGCACCGCCCATGCATATATCCAAATTACATATTATACAACTTCCACACGTTGCTTAGCTTCCCTGGGACTTCGAATCTTTTAACAGTATGACACCTTGAGCTAAAACAATAGATATATCAACTGATTCCCAAGAAGGTTAATTTACATGCGTAAGCTAATTAGCTCTCCCTCTCATCGTATTTTTCCCATTCGCCATATAACCGATAACGTACCTCGTGTGGGAGGAGACTCATAACTTCCCAAATCTCCTGTCCCACTGCTGGATTTGCAGGAATCGACTGTAATGAAGGAAGCAAACATGATCCTAAAGCTTCCTCAATTCATGACCTAGCATCTCAGAGGAGCTGGCGACAGGCTTGATTTCCAGATGTAGGCTTCTGGAGCAATATTGTATCGCGATGAAGGTAAGGTCCAACAGCAGCCAGCATTGGAAGAGTTCCTTCGGAAGAGAAACTGAGCATCTCTTATGAGAACTTGCATCCATAACATCAACCCCAACCACTGTAGGAGACTCGGATAATTGAAAATGTGATTGGCGAACAATGTCATATGCTGAAGAGATGGCCTTTTCAATGAGCCTCGATTTAGTTCACTTTCCTGTTAGGATTGAGGCGCGTTCGTCATCATTGTCGTAGCCGTCCACGATTTATCAATCACCACCGCCTGGTTGCCGCCAGTCCGGGTCGTGCCTCCGTCGACAACCACCACCGTTGTCATCATCGAGTTCCTCTCTCAATTTTCCTTAGCTGATCACAATCTCTCCTTCGTGACCAGAGCGGTAGTGTCGGCGGCGGAATGCTGCTCTTTTGCTTTATATATTTATATATAGCTAGGGGGGCACAGTTGCTCCCAAGTGGTAGGTTTTAATTAGTTCAAAGGGTATTTTGGGAATTTCATGGATCCAATACTCAGCTAACGTCAATAATTTTTTTATTTTATGTTGATACTCTACATCACTTGAACCGAGAGTTCAAATTTTTAGTCCTTATCGATTTTACGATGGAATCTGACAACTTGACCAAAGGGAATAATAGTCAATTTGACTTTTGAGAAAAGCGGGGTGTAGCAACCCAAATGTCATATTGAATAATTCGGGACACAAATGACACATTCTTGATAGTTTGGGTTTCCTAGTGGTATATATTAGTCTTTGTATAAATGAATCTGGGCGCTTTATTTTGAGTGGGGTAAGAAGGGTCCGGATCTAAGGGGTAAGAATTAGTCAATTTTTATTTTGTCTAGTTTTCTTAATTTTGTCTTATCTTCTTTGTTCTAACTTGGATTTTAATTTTTTTTAATGCACATATGCACAATTTGTTGCAACCTACAAAATGATATCAATTATTAATATATTTTGACAAAAAAAAAATTCATACCACTTGTTACCGCCTTGGTACCACCACCTGTGTTCTTAACCCAAATTTTGATAATTTTTGCACACATGGAACGAACTCATTATGATTTATTGGATCTACAAATTTAAGGGAAAAATATATCAGAAGAAATATACCACTCTATACCACCCTAGTACATGGCTGCTAACTAGTGGTAAACAATTATGAATGTGGTAAATTATTGTATGTATATTCTTGGGTAAATACAATTTAATATCCAAACCTTTTATTTTAAACAATATAATAGCCAAACCTTTTCGAAAACAATCTAATATCCAAATCGTCAACTTTCTGTCTGTTTGATCGTTAGTTGACACTTCAAAAAAGTTTAAAGTACGACACTTCATCAATTTTCATCGACATCTTCTCTGAAAAACCACAAACATATCGTAGTTCCAAACCCGAGAAGTCCATGACTCCACCATGATGGTATAGAATATCTAAATATTCAGTCATCTGCAATGCCAAAACAAGAAACAAAGTTGTATTGTGACTATTTCCCCTAAACAAAGCTTTTTTGAAGTGTCAACTAACGGTCAAACGAACGGAAAGTTGACGATTTGGATATTAGATTGTTTTCGAAAAGGTTTGGCTATTATATTGTTTAAAATGAAAGATTTGGATATTAAATTGTATTTACCCTATATTCTTACTACAATGTATATTTATCTTATGTTTATATCACCATTGTACATTTCTATGCCACGTAGTATATGATCTTATGCAATACTAAACATTACCATGGTGCTTCATTCAATTCTCGCAACTCTAACTTAAATTGTAATTCTCTCTTCTTGGTGAATAATATAATGATCACCCGTTGTGGTTTATTATGGGTTTGTTGGACTAATTAAGTTGATGATCTCTGATACATCGAGAAATACACATATTTATTCTCACATTATTTAAGTATTAAATTGGCTTGTAAGACAAAATAAGTTTAGTTGTTTTCCAGTTTTACATTTGGTTTTGTGTGTTTTGATATTTCAGGATATAAATAAGTCAGAATCCGATTATGCTTGCAAGATTAAAGGATGGATATATACGTGTGCATGGGAGCAAGCGGGCTGTATTTTTATATTTGAGGATATAAATAAGTCGAACTTGAATCTGATTATGCTTGCAAGCGAGCGCTGCTCAATTACCACCAGCAACCTACGTAGGGAATTTGCAAGTTAGCAGCTCAATTAAGTGCACAAACTTGATCGGGGAAGAATTGGCGTACAAACTGAAGCAAGCAGCTGGTTCATTTGGGATAGCAGCTCAAGCTAGCAGGTGGCAGCCTGACACAAATGGGCTCACGTCTCACAGGTAGAGGCTAAGCA